ATTTTTCCACCCCTCACGATCTTTCCGCCATTTTCTCACCCCTCACGCCCTTCCCGCCATTTTCCCGCCCCTCACGAACCTCTCACAGAGCACAAACCTCAGCAAAAAAAAAAAAAATCAGCAGAAAGTGGGGGAAAAAAATAGAAAAAGGAAAAAAAGAGAAAAAGGCTTTGGAAGTTTATTTTCTTTGATAAAATCTCAACTGAAAGGGGCGGACTCTGCAAGCAGAATGGCACAAACCCCTTGGAATTCCCATAGGGAAATCCGGTGGTTTGGCTGTTCTGTGGTGAATTTGGGGTTTTTTAATTTTATTTTTTATTTTTAACTTTTTCATCAGAAAAAGTAGAGCTGTGGAATTTTCCAATGGGAAATCCCTTGGAATGAACCCAGTGGAAAGTCTGACCTGCGAGTGACGTCCAGTGAGAAGTTTGGTAAATCAACGTTCCCATTAATTAACTAAATTAGTTAAAAAAGAACTGAATTCCCCATATAAAATTCAAAATTACAATTACAGGGAACGAACCATTACAACATGAGGGGGGATTTAAACTGCAATTATTCACCTAGAACAAAAATCCCAGCGTAAAAAACCAGACAGAAATAAAAATAAATCCATTTTCTTCCTCTGTAAAACTGGAGACAAACGCCAAAAATTTTTCTTTTCTTTTTCTTCAAGTGCTTTGTGTAAAATCCGTGAGGTTTTTCCCTTAAAAAAACGGAATTTGCTGAGGTGAAAACAAAGTTAATAATAAATAATTTCAGGTCCCGGCGGGGCGATGAGAGGTAGAGGTGTCGCTGCCATCACAATCTGTTGGCTTCTTCTGAGGTAATTAATTCATTCATTAATTGCGAGTCAATCATAATTAGCGCTAATTGACTTCTCTCCTCTCCAAAAGGTCCTCAAAAAAAAAAAAAAAAAAAAAAAATNATTATTAATCACCCAACGGCCATGAAATTAGGTGTAGGTGGGGTAATGCTGATTAAAGATTGTTATTAAATCGTAACGCTCAATATATATACGCTATATACATAATTATCATCATTGTTTTGTTATTATTGTTATTATTTTTATTATATTGTTATTGATTAATTAATTAATGGTGTGTTTGGGATTATGGTGGTTTAAAAAGGAAATGACACAGTCTGTGGATATCCCCCCAAAAATGTCCTTTTTCTTTTATTTGTGTATTTATAATTTAATATAAATAAGTATAACTCCTATAAATGTAGGTTAGATATATTAAAAGTATATTAATACTTGTAATAAATATAGACAATAAATCAATATATACAATAAATCAATATGTATAATATGTAAAATATATAACAAAGACCATGTAAAATGCAAAATACAATATATAATGTATAATATAAAATATATATTATATACAATTTTAGTTATGTATTATACATTGTATATTACATGCTATAATATATAATATACAATATATAATACATAATATGCAATACAAAAAATAAAAATATAAATGCACACATTAAATTTATAAAAAATTACTGTGAATTTAAACGTTTTTATTGCATGTACAACACTGATTTCTAATGTCAAATATCTTTTAAAATGTATTAAGTACATTTTTAATTTGTACATTCAAATCTAAATTTATCTGTTTTCTTTAATGCAAAGTACAATACAAAATATGTGCAAAATATATTTCAAAATCTTATTTAATGTATAATAATTGTCTATAATGTAAAATAGATTTAAAAACACATTAAAAAAAAGATATTAAAAGTACGTGTTGAAACAGACTTTAAAATATTTTAAAGGGTTTAAAGATTTGAAAGTTGATCAATTAAATTCCATTTTCCCATCCCAACATCAGCCATGTTGGGGGAAATTTTAAAAAAATTTTGGAAAATTCAAAATAAGAATTAAAATGAATGGAAAAAGAATATTTATTGATAATGTTTAGGACACATAAAAAAATCTTTAAAAATTCAAAATAAACATTAAAATGAATGTAAAAAAGAAGATTTATTGCGAATATTTTATTATTACTTTTTAATTAATTAATTAATTATTAATTAATAATTAATTATTAATTAGGAATGAATCCCAACTCACATCGAGGCGCTGCGTGGAGTACAAAGAGTTCCCCAGGAGGGGATCAAAGCTCCCTGTGTGGGGCAGGATGTGGGGCAGGGAATCCACCTGAAAATGGGGAAAAAAACAGGAAAAAAGGGTAAAAAATGAGCCAAGAATTCAACTGAAAATGAGGGGAAAAAACAGGAAAAAAGGGTAAAAAATGAGCCCAGAATTCAACTGAAAATGGGGAAAAAAGGGGAAAAAAATGAGCCAAGAATTCACCTGAAAATGAGGGGAAAAAAGGGCAAAAAAGTTAAAAAATGAGCCCAGAATTCAACTGAAAATGGGGAAAAAAACAGGAAAAAAGGGTAAAAAATGAGCCCAGAATTCAACTGAAAATGAGGGAAAAAGGGTAAAAAATGAGCCAAGAAATAATCTGAGATTCAACTGAAAATGAGGGAAAAAACAGGAAAAAAGGGTAAAAAATGAGCCAAGAATTCAACTGAAAATGGGGAAAAAACAGGAAAAAAGGGTAA